ATATTTTCAAAAGTTCTTGGAATCGTTGTTAACAGAAACCTGCAAAAAATATATCATTTTATTCCTAAAATATAAGATATCACACAATGCACATTCATATAATATCATTGTGCTAGAAAAATACTAGGTAGGTACTGAGACAATTTAAAAAAATTATTTCGAGAAACTCAGCTTTTAATGTCATCATTGTACTTAACTTTTTTATTGCTAAATTATTAATAATGTCATTTTGTGTAGTTCGTTGTGATTTATATAATATATATTATAAAAATCTATCGTCAATGTTAATGTGCCAAGTTTTTTTAATAATTATGTTCTTGTTATAGTAAAAACACATTTAAACACATTTTTAAAATTTTCTGGATTTCTGCTTTAAATTATCGTACAATTGAACTGACTAATTGTGTGTTTAAGTAAAGGTATATCTCTTTTTTGTTATAACAGTCTTTGTATATTGTTCTAACTTTTTAGATAATCAGAGAAAACAGTAAGACATCTAAATATATCCTATTTCACCAACAAAAATGTAGAATAATTAATCTCACATCAAACGAAAAAAGTCATTTTAGGATGTCCTAATAGGTTTTAACTTAAAAACTAAATAAAATGTATATTGCGACTGTGTTTAAATAAATGAATGTTTTTATACTTGACTATAGCACCAGACAAACATTTTTTTAGATCATAATGATCTGCATAACTCAAAATAGTCAAAATCCACATTATTTAAGTTGTTCTAGTATTGTTTTAGCATAACGATGTAAACTCCAATAATAAATATTCACATTTTTTTGGGGCGGAAATTAAAAAAACATGAATAATGTGATATTCTTGTTTAGTTTTGTACTATACAATATAGTTCATTAGGTAGTGATTTAGAAGCAAATTATGTTTTATTTATAGAATAAAAAATCAGTCATAATATCTAAATATTTATACCTATTTATATTTTGGACAGGAAGACTATTTTATGTTTTTGGCTCTGAATAGTTTTCTTAAGAATTTTAAAACCTTCCTTAGCTCTTTTGGGATATTCCATGCATAACTTAGAAGTTCATTTTGTTTAAACCTAAAACAAATTAAGTACAAAAAATGAAAATTTAAACAATACACAAAATTAGTGTTTTAGATTAGTTAAAAAAAAGTGTTAACTAAAAAATGGCTATGCCTTTTTCCTTAAATATTCTTTTTGAAAGAAACTTAAGTTTCTCTACTTACTTGCTGTTTTAGTATTCTAGTAGCAGATGAATATAGTGTAGAAGTAGTGACAGGATTGATTATTATAATTCTTTCGTCGAAATTGCATTTTTGTTTAATATTTTCCTCCCCTGAGGTCTGTAATAAAAATTTTTATTAGCATAAAAAGTTATTCAGGTGGTCACTTGTTGAACTCCTATATTTTGGAACCATGTATTTCTTTCTCATATGAAGAAAAGGAGACCTAAAAAAAATAACAATAAACTTTACAAAGATGTGATATTAAAATAATTTACTATAATCATTATGAGACGGTTAAAGACGAACTTAACTGGAGTTTACTTGCTCTTAATTTTAATTTTTCAAAAGGAAAATAAGAAAGTTTAATTGCAAATTGAAGGTGATTGCCTAATGCACCGCCTCTGATAATTAGGTTGTGTCTGTACTTACTTATGATAATGGGTCCTATGATTGAACGTTTACGTTATTTGTAACGTACATGTTAGGCCGAATTTTAAAAGTAACTAGGCAAGTTCGTATGATAGAAACCTGTTAAATTAGAACATAACAGGCGGAAAATAACAGTAATGTGTTGGAAAAAGTTTTCCATCGTACGAACTTGCCTTGTTACTGTTAAAACTCGGCCTAACATGTACGTTACGGATAACGTAAACGTTTAATCATAGCACCCATTATTTTGAAGAAGCATTTTCAACAGGCCTTTTACACATAAAGCATGTTTTCACCATATTATTAGAGATAATAAATCTTAGATATATATGTACAACCCTTACAACATTATAAATAATAATATTTTCCGTAAAATACAAATAAGAAATTGACATATGCCAGAAAGTGTCAGAACTGGCGCTGTCAAACTTGGCAACGCTGATTAAATAAGCCAATTACAGAAGATGTATTTCCCCCTTGGGGGAGTAGATGTTGCTAACAAAATTTAGCGCGGGGAAGGGGGGAAGACTCCCTCTAGTAGTAATTGCTCGGAGCTAGATATACTATTACCTGGAACGACACAAAACACATAACTCTGTTAGATATCGTGTCTCGTCCACTTGACATTTAACGTCAAATATTATATAACTAACCCAAGAAATTCGATGAAATTGGTATCGAAGATAATGTATTACCTAAAGGTAATATATAAGAAAATATATGAGTAAATTCACAACGAAACTTTTTATTTTTAGAATTAAACAAATTAAAGCAAGCCAGTATTGTACAAGGGATACAATCTACAAATATATCTCAGATAATATGAACAAAACTCTAAACCCCTGTCCAGTGATACGATAGATTAAATTATAATATTGATATTTGAAGGCTAAACAATAAATACGACAAAAATAATGGCTTCAAAAACTTATCAAACAATAAATTTCGGTTTACCTTTTTTCCGTATATTTAAACATGCAACGTGATACTTGTTATTTTATCTATTTGTTATAGTGTTTTGAGCTCAATTGATTTTGCGAGTGGGTCAGGTTATTAAATAACTCGTATTACCTTGAAAAAGAAGTTGGGCACCACTATATATAAAACTTACTTTACTTGACTAAAGAGTAGTGATAAAAATATAGAAAATCACTAACCATTAAGATATTATATTTAAACAAAGTTTTAGATAAGGTAGTAACAAATTATAATTCACAGATATTCACTTAATTTAAATTTAGATGATTTATTGAAAAAAATAACTTATCTGTTGTAACAGGAGGTAGAATATAAGGCCTTCTTCAAAGGGACTTGAACGATATTCTATAGGTGAACCAAACCTCAGTCTTCGGATGGCACCAAACTCTTAGGTATAAATCTTCATAAACAGTTTTAGATATAACTTGAAATAAACTTCTTTAGATATAACTCGAAATAAACTTAAATCTCCATAAACTGGTTTAGATATAATTCGAAATAAATCGTCTAGATATAGCCACGCTAAAAGGAAAAAAAGGTAAAAACGTTAAGGAAGGAAATAGGAAATTTGCACAGGAACCAAATAAAATGACTTTAACTAATAATTGAACAATTTAAAAATATGTGAATAATTTCACAGAGACTAAAATTAATATGAAAAGAAAAAATCTTATTTAACATATTTAAATATAGTAAAGCATAATATCTCTTCCAAACAAAATATTAGCTTTGTTCGCACAACGATCAGAAAAATAAGCAACTGCAAGACTCATGCGCAGTTCGTAAAAAGTGTTCGCACAACCAAATTTTAAATCTCCATTTAAAAATTGGGTGTTCGCAGAACGAAATTTGCCGTTGCAAATCGATTTCCAACGATCCAAATAATCCCCTGATTTTGAAGAAATTTTTAGTTGGACACATGCGCATTAGTTTATTGCTTATGTCGCATGTCAATTTAAAAGTTAGGTTATATGTTTGTTGTTTTTGGATTATTTTTGTGTTCATTTTATATTTTAAATTATTGTCGGATCATTTTAATAAGTAAAAAGAAGGTAAGTGACATTTTTAAGTACTAAATGTAATTAGGTCGGTAATCATATTTAATTTTTTTAAAAGTAGTTCTAAAGATGTTGTTCGAGGACAATTGGGAAAGCTCTTCCAGTGACGAGGAACTATTAGTTGATTATTTTAGACAATCAAAGCAAAAAAATGAAAATTATTTGGAAGAGATAGTCCCTAATTATACAAACACAGAATTTATGGAACATTTTAGATTAAGCAGACAAGTTGTTCAAAATTTATCTGAACAATTTGCACAAACGCAATACTTCCATCACCAAAGCGGGGAATTTGGAAAATTGAATGCCGATGACTTCGTTATTATATTTTTATGGTATGCTGGCCATGAGGCAGCCTCATATAGAGATGTTGCCGATAGATTTTGCATATCATTAAGTACTCTCCGAAAAGTTATCGAAAGAATGACATACTTTTTGAGCAATCTTTCTCCACAAATTATTACTTGGCCAAATTACTTAGAACAACAACACATAAAATAGCAGTTTTCCACCAATGGATTTGAAAACGTGATAGGAGCAATTGATGGGAGTCATGTGAGGATTGACAAACCTTCTGAAGATCCTGATTCCTACCTTAATAGAAAAGGATTCTATTCAATACAAGTAAGTTCCTACCTACTTCTATTTCTTTCTAAGTTTTATCATTTTTGGTCATTGCATATTTAAATATATATTATTAAAACTTTATTTTATTGTAGTTATTTTAGTTTCAGGTAGTTGCTGATCATCAAAGAAAAATTAGAGACGTGGTAATAGGATTTCCTGGCTCCGTACACGACAGCAGGGTATTTCGGGCATCTCCTTTATGCACCAACATAGAAGAGATGTGTGGTGAAAATTATCTTCTGGGAGACAGTGGATATCCGTGTCAAAAAAATTTATTAACGCCATTTAAGGAAATTGGACATTTAACAAGGAGGTAAATAAATTACAACATAAAATTAGCAAAAACCAGATATGTAGTGGAACATTGTTTCGGCATTTTGAAACAGAAATTTCGTCAATTGTACCACTTAAAATTAAGAAGCGATGATATGATTGCAAACTTTATTAGAGCTTGTTGTGTTCTTCAAAATTTAGGGTTAAATGGTAATCGCAATTATGACAATATAGAGGCAGAAGTTGAAATTGAAGACAATGAAGACGTGCAAATAGAAAATAATGACAGAGTAGAGGTTGATAATAGAGACAATATAAACGGTATAGAATTTAGAAATCGTGTTATGAATATCTTGCCAATGTAGAAACGTTGATTTTATTTGATAGGTATAACTTAATAAATAATTTTTTAACAGAATTTTTTTTATTACAAACTTCACAAAACTTCCAAAACGACAATAACAAATAGAACTAAACAAACAATGTAAATGCAAAACGACAATAGAACTAAACAAACAATACTTATAAATGCAATAAACTAAATAAATAACTAAAATACTACAGGAATATCTGTTTAAATAAGAATGTTTTTTCAGTCAATTTTAGTAACAGTTTATTTGTTTCAATATGTAAATTATTTTTATCTTTTAATAAATTATTCTTCCGTTCTTTTAATTGCACCTTTTGAACTTCCAATTGATAAAGTTTTTCAAATTTTTCTTTCTCAAAAGCTAATTTTTCCTTGTGTCGATCTAATTTGTTAAGACGTATTTTTTCTAAAACATTATTTTTTACAGATGTGGCTGCTTTTGATTTCATCCTATGAGGCGTTACTGTTGTAATGTTTTCTTTATTTATTATTGAGGAAGAAGCAGGTGAAAAGTCTGGTGAAAATTCCTTTTCAACTATTTCAGCTTGTGTCGAAGTCGAAGGTGTTTGTAATTTTGTTGCTGTTGATGTAGATAATAAAATTGTCGGATTGATATTTTTCTTTTTACCGAGAATATCATCCATTTCATCGGCAAATTCAAAAAATCTTCGACCTGCTCCAGTTTGCTTCTTATTATCTACATATTTTTTATAATTTCGTTCTAGAACTCGCCATCTGTTTTCACAGTTTAAGGGTGTCACATCAATGTTTTCTTTTTTAAATTCTTGGGCTATAACTTCCCACATTTTCTTAAAATTTCTAATTTTTAATGTTCCCACCAGTTTCCTTGTTGTTTTAAAATAATTTAGTAACATTCGAGTTGTTACAGCAGTCCATATAAAACTTCTACCTTCTCTAGAGCACGACTCAGTGGGGTTTGCCAAGGGAGTTTCTAAAACAACAAAATTGTTATAGGTATTTTACCTAAAACACATACCACTGAACTTACCTTCCATTGCGTAAATTGCTTAAGATAAATATTTTTACTTTTATTTAACGACAATAATTATAAAAAGGGCAAATTCAAAAATCTCAAATATTATAGCCGAGAAGCATTGAAATATTGAAAGAAATAAAACATAACCTATAAATCTACAGTTTTCAATGGGACTTTACCTTTCAGCACATTCAGTCAACAATGATTTTTAAGCGTTCGCAGAACAAAAAATTGGCAATTAGGTTAAAACCAAAAATAGTTTGAACATGCGCACAAAAAATTTCTTATTAGTTGGAAGTTTGCTTGTGCGAACAAAGCTAATATATAAAACTATATATAACGTGTTATCCATGTGTTATTCATGTATTGAGGTTATGTTTAAAATTTTACATTTCATTTAAGAAATTTTTGTACAAAATATATATTTTCAACAATATATCGGTATTAAAGCTTACCTTATAAAATCAGACGACCAATAAGAATATTAGAAATAAATTAGTACATCGGATGGCCAAGATATATTAAAATTTAAATCAACTTAATTCGTTGACATCCAAATCAAAAGTAATTCTCGCAAAGCGAATAAAAAAGAAGAAGACAAAAATGACATTTGAGTAGAGATGTTTGTGTCAAAATAACGAAAACGGTTCCAACCGTTACAAACAAGCTTAGTCGAATTTTTCTTTGCAAAAACAAAACAAAAAATATTATTAAAATTTTGACAATAAATGAGTTCTCTTGGAACTAATCGTTTGGTCAATGAGCCATGTTTAGATGTGAGATATGCTGTTTTATAAATTATATTGTAATAGTTAGTCAGTATACAAGTTATTCTAAATAATCAGTTTGTCAAAAAACCAAAAGGTTTTAAAGTAAACTATTTATAATTTAAAATTTGAAATGTGTACGTTATCGGGAATAGACCAATCAGCTTGTGTGGAAGTTTTTTTTGTTATACAGAACCAAACCAACGAACAAACTGACAAATAGAATATCGAAATGAACGCACACTTGAAAATTGACACCACCTAGACCACCTAACCTAACATTCGTTGTTGTTTTGTTTACTCTTTTTTTCTCGATGTATTTATTTTGTCTGTGCTAAATGTGCTAATTGGTTTAATTTTATTATTAATATGGTTTGTCAGCTAGATTTATAAATGCTGATTCAAATGTTTTACCCATTGTAAACAAAGATATGATTACTACATTTTTTAACAATACTCAGTTTTTTATTTGATTACTTTCTTGTTTTGTTGGGCTATTACTTTTGTAGTAGAGTTTAAAAATGATTCTATCGTGTCATTCCGTTTTTACCATAGATAAATTAATAAAACAAGATGAATTTTTTAAATGCACGCCACTGTCAACACGTGGTAGTTCCCAGCATACTATTAGTTAGCGCCACCGTCGCAATAGTATGAAAGCGTAAACTTTCATGAGATGAGAGTTATTTCAAATTCATCTTACTTTAATTTTTTATCAATCTACATGCGCTCCATAGCATCCATACAATGTCCATACTATTGCTGGGATTTTTAAAAGAAGGAGTTGGAAACCTCGTAAAAAATTAAAAACCGTGATGGCGGAAGGACAAATATGATAATGAAATGCTAAAACTTATTTTATGAATTATGATGAAAGTTCTAAAGATCGGCAAGTTATTTTTAAGAAGATAAACAGTGTTTATTTGATGTAATTAGTAAGTATTAGCAATTTAATTTAATATTAAAGGTGTGTAGATTTATTTGTTTATCATTGTTTTCTTAACATTATATAATTTCATATTTCATAGATTTTCAATTCTGTTTTTATATTTGAAACAAGAAATCTGGCCCGGGTATAGTCAAGTATTCTCGAGAGTATTCTTGTTCAGCTCCTAATTGTTTAAATAAGTATTATTCTAAAATTCAGAAAATTGGATAATCAAATATTAAACCTTTTTCATTTTCCTTCCCATATTAAAATTTGCCAGAACTGGTTTAAGACTTTAAATGTAACTTTAGCTAATAATACTCGCTATCTTTGTGCGGACCATTTTTGTCTTAGTCTTTTAGTAGAATTTCATCACTGTTAGTTGGACATTCTGTACCAATTTCATTAGATAATTGTGCATCCAGTATCCAGTTCCAATATGCAACCTGAGAATTAGATTTTAGAATAAGTTGAGGCCGAAGCACAAATATAGCCGCATAAGAAAAACAAGAAATTAGTTGCAAACTTAATAATTAGTGATGAAAAATTTGAACGACCCTTGAAACGAAGAAAAACAATAAATAAATAAAAGTAGTCAGAAATTTAAGTCCTAAAGAGAAAAAGTTGTATTTTATTAATATTTTGATAAGAGAAATTGTTCAATAAGACATATGTATACTTTTTGTTTTGTTTTTATAGGAAACACGGGACACCCAACAAAATATGGTCCATTTTTCCAAGAACGGGGGAGACTACCTACTATTCATTTTACTTACAATTGTTATTTACTATTGAGCTCATGTATGTATGTATTACTGTATAATAAATAATTAAAATATATGTTTCAAATATTTTATTTTAATGTAAATATTTTTTGTTTATATTTGTTGGGGTTTTATTACGAAAAAAAAACCTAATATTTATGTTAAATGCATTCTTTTGATGTAAATATTAGTTTTTTTTTAGAGTAATGAATGCCAAAAAAATGTAAATAAATAATAAATTATATTTGAATGAACCGCGGTTCGCTTAAAGCTCTTCTTTTTTTATTCTTTCCTTTCTTATTCGGCCTCTTACTGGCAAGTCAATCAGCCAGTGTAGTTCAAAAAAAATCCGTTCCATACTAATTCGCAGCACTGTTTGTTTCCAAAAATTAACACGGGATCCGACTATCTTCTTTATTAATTTATCTATGGTTTTCACTTTATTGCTGAAATGTAACACCTATCTTACGTCATTCCTTACACCTTAAGAATGCAAAATCACCTATTCATTCAAAAATCATGTGCTTGGGGGTGGTTTTCCAAAAAATTGAATAAATTTACAACAGTTATTTTTATTTATATTTTTCATATGCTAGCAGTACATTTAAATTTTCAACAAAGTAATCCATTTTTACTTATAGATATTTTATTTTCGAATCTATATAATATACGAGTGTATTATGTATGTTTCAAGTATATTATTTTAAGCTTTTTTGAATCAGAGACCATACGGTGCCGTGTTTTCACATCGATGCCAATACGCGTCAAAGTTGATAAGTCATTGCTATATCTTCTCTCATTATGTTATGTAAATTTAATCACATATTTACATGTAATTATTTTCAACTTACGGATCTCATGCTGCGTTATTTTCTGAGAGCTGCTTAGTTCAGGAAAAACAAACGAAAATAATCGGATTTTTAGGCAAGGAAAAAATCGAAAAAGTTTCTAGATAAATACTTAGTTAAAAATGTATCTAATGATTGGACTATTGATAGGGTTCTCCGTTAATGTAAAAAAGGTCTAATATATTCAGAACTATTAGAGGTGTAAAAAAGCTTTACAGACCGATAACTATTAACGCCCACATTTTAGAATATACAGGTGTTTAATAACTTAAGTATGAAACAAATTTGTTTTTTTTTTTTTTTTTACTTTATTAATTTATTGTCCATTTAACACTTGTTCAAAACCATGTGCTGCGTTACTCAAATCATATTTTTGACAAATAAGTTATACTGTTTAGTTTTAGTGACAAGTTTTTAGAGTATCGTAGAATGGCTTAAATGCCGAAAGCGGTCGACCATATTTAAAAGTTATTGCTCCGTTCATGAAAACGAATTTGTCGGCATAGGTAGTCCTCCTATTATACCCCTTTCTTCAAATTTTGAGAAAACAGTTGACGAAAAGATTATTATTAATCTATTGTATGGATAAGCCGAAACACATAACTTTCAACCTTTTTTTATCGGGAACGAGTCAGGACATTAGATCTTTAATCCTACCGTCTAGTTGTGTTACCACATTTCTGGATATGACGCACAACATCAATACCATGTGTTTTTGCAAATTCATCTACTACATAATGTACTGGAGGCTTATTTAATTTCATAATTTCTAGTAGTTCTATTTTTATTGATTTTTCTGAAAAGTTAATGTTTCTGTCTGTTAGCCACTTAATGATATCATCTTTCTTCCATGAAGTATTTGGAACACGTCTAGTTAGACGGGAATGGTAACTAGCGTTATCCATTACTATAACTGAATCCTTTGGTAAATGTTCTATCATCTGCTGAAAATAGTCTCCGGTTTTTTTAGATAGAAATATTAAAGAACCACGTTTTGAAAACCCATCATCACTTCCAATATGAGTTATAATTAGACCTCGTCCTACCGAAAGGAACTTTCAATCCTGTAGATAATGCTTCCAAAAAAGCATGTCGTGAAGATTGAATGTTTGTGTCCTGCCACATTTTGCTAACTGTGTAACCTTCATTCATCCAGGTTTCGACCAAATAAAATATATTTTTGCCTTCTTCTTTAAAAATGGTTCTGAATTACCCCTGTCTCCAACAAACAATTTCCTCAGAATCAATAAGTGCTGCTTTCCTGTCCTGTGTATCCCACTTGAACTGCAAATCTATTAAAGTTTTCCGTAGTTTTGTCTTTCCCATTTTAGGAAAATACGGATCACTATTTATTGCGTCCAAAACCTTGACAAGTGTTGATTACTTTTTTTAGAATAAAATTCGTGAACTCTTCTTCTTATTCTGCTTTTAATTTGTCAGTAAATGCCATTTTTTTCTTACCTCCTACATTTTTCTTTGATGGTTTAACAATTCCACTTTTTAATTAACTTACAACTTTATATATCGTTGATTTGCTTACACCCATCATATTACTTGTCTTTTCAACAGTGTCGTCAACAGAAGATGAAGAACTTTCAATCCATTCTGGGGTAATTATAAACATTGCTTACAAATATTGTATCGTTAACTAGGCATTAAAAAAAATCTGATGTGTCCAACACATGACTTTCCTATCTAGTTATTATAGGCTTTTTCCGGTTATTTTGTACAACCTATTGCAGCATCTCTATAAATGTTTAGAGGATAAACTAAATATATAGTTTGTCCACATACATCTACCTCAAAACATTTTTCTATAAATATTCATTGAAAACGAAAATACTGAAAAATTCAAATTTAGCACTTTTCCATTACGGTCCATTTTAGAAAAATCATGTATAAACAAAAATTATAGAGATCGATATCGCAAACAACTTTTAGTTCAACAATTTTCATAAAAATCAGAATTTTGCACATTTTGTCAAATTTCTCGGATACGGACAATTTCAGGAAATTTTGACATTTAATAAAAATTATAGATAATAATATTAGAAGTAATTTTTATTTGAACAATTTTCTTCTCCAAACATAAATAACAGATATATTCAATAAAATATAAAAACGGCCTCCCATAAAGTACCCCCCTAGATGTTCCGACTTTGTCCAAAATCTAATCATTTCACGTCAGGCCGAAATAAAATTTAATTTTAAAATTTAATGTTTTTTTCTTTATCCGTTTTTGAGTTTTCTTCAAAATTCGAAATTTTCACATTTTCTCAAATATCTCGAATACGGTCCATTTTAGAGAAATTATGTATAAAATAAAAATTATATAGAATTATATTACAAACAACTTTTATTTGAACAATTTTTATAAAAAAATATTTTTTTTACATTTTGTCAAATTTCTCGAATACGGACCATTTTAATAAAATTTTGTATAAAACAAGAATTATAGATAATAATATTAGAAGTAACTTTTATTTAAACAATTTTCTTCTCCAAACATAAATAACAGATATATTCCATAAAATATAAAAACGGCCTCCCATAAAGTACCCCCTAGATGTTTCGACTTTGTCCAAAATCTAATCACTTCACGTCAGGCCGAAATAAACCTTAATTTTAAAATTTAATGTTTTTTCTTTATCCGTTTTTGAGTTTTCTTCAAAATTCGAAATTTACACATTTTCTCAAATATCTCGAATACGGTCCATTTTAGAGAAATTATGTATAAAATAAAAATTATAGAGAATTATAATACAAACAACTTTTATTTGAACAATTTTTATAAAAAATTATTTTTTTTACATTTTGTCAAATTTCTCGAATACGGACCATTTAAGGAAAATTTTGTATAAAACAAAAATTATAGATAATTATATTAGAAGTAACTTTTATTTAAAGAATTTTCTTCTCCAAACGTAAATAACAGATATATTCTATAAAATATAAAAATGACCACCTATAAAGTACCCCCCCAGATGTTCCGACTCTGCCCAAAATCTAATCAGTTCATTAGAGGCTAGAATAAAGCTTAAGTTTAACATTTGGTGTTTTTCTGTGTATCGGTTCATGAGTTATGCGACCTACAGACACACACACACACACACACACACACACACACACACACACACACACACACACACACACACACACACACACACACACACACACACACACACACACACACACACACACACACACCACACATATACACACACACACACACACACGCGCGCCCACACACACACACACACACACACACACACACACACACACACACACAGACAGACATCATCGCGAAAATAGTCAAAACGGATTCAGCGGACCTCAAAACGTAAAAATCCGTCGAAAACTCGAGGTCGAAAAAAATCATGATTCCTATACTTTCCTTATATCTGTATACAGATAGGAAAGTAAAAAAACGGATGTAAATGTAACGCGCAAGAAGAATGAGTGCTGGATAAAAATTGAAAGTGAATTTAATTCACAAATCTTTGTACAAATTCAGTATTGTTCCACTTCACAAAATGATTGATCCTTGGTCTATATATTATCATATCATCAAGCAGTTTCTTGTAGTATTAATTCATTTAGTATGAAAAATAAAACTAAATATATCACTTACCGCGACTTTTCTAAGTTTGACTTTTTAATTTAGAATTAAATCTAATTAATTGGGATATAATCTACTCACTGGATAATGTTTATAACATGATCTCCTTTTTAAATGATTCTCTAATACATCTATTTTCCAGACATTCTCCTTTCGTAACTAAAAGAGCAAATAAACCACCTGCTCCGTGGCTTACAGATACAATTAAAATTATGATTTCCCTCAAAGTTAAAGCATTAAGAAAATATAAACAAAATAAAACTATGTCTGCTTTGAGAAGTTACAAGGAACTTAGAAACTACACGATCGGAGCTTTATGGCGGGAAAAGAAGGCTTACCTTGAAATCGTCCTTAGACAAAAACACCTTATACTCTTAGATCCTTATAAATCCTTCGGAAAAAACGAGTCCAGATATTCCTGACAATCTAAAAAATGTGAATGATATAAATGAACATTTTAACCCTGCACCTATGACTTATAAATTTCCTGATGAATTAACACTACTAGGTCGGTACACTGAAGTAGAATCACACAACTTATACCAATTTGAAACCGTTACGTCAGGCATAGTCGAAAAATCAATCGAATTAAAAGCAACGCCGTAGGCCTAGACAATATCTCATTGTGTATGCTTTATCTAGTTCAAGACTCTTTACTTAATCATATAACATTCATATTTAATTATATAATCTCCTCCTGCCAATATTCTTTTGCATGGAAACAAGCCCTTATCGTTCCTATTGCTAAGTGTAATCAGGCAACGAATTTTTCTGATTTAAGACCAATCAGCCTTCTACCCACTTAATCAAAATAATTTAAACCAATTATCAAAGATCAAATTACTAGGTATGCTTATCAACGAAACATTATAACTTAACATCAGTCAGGTTTTAGATGCCATCACAGCACTACTACTGCTCTTCTGTCTATTAGCGATGACATTTTTAAAGCAACCGATCAAGGGAAAATAACATGTTTGGTTCTTCTCGACTACAGCAAGGCATTTGATACCCTAGATCATGACTTACTCTGTAAGAAATTAAACTCTTTCGGCATTACAAAAAATTCAGTCTCCCTCATATCAAATTATCTTAGTAATCGCACTCACAAAGTAATTTTGGATGGCAACATATCAAATTTCCTACCAGTAATACAAGGGGTACCACAGGGTTTAATTTTAGGACCAGTCCTATTTGCTCTGTACATTTCTGACTTCCATAGCTTTGTTCAAAATTGTGCGATTCACCACTATGCTGACGATACGCAGCTTTATCGATCTTTTGACAAAGAGTCGCTAGATAACACCAAGTCTTCATCTTAATGAAGACTTGAATTCTTTATTTAATATATCTACTGCGCACAACTTAAAAATAAACCCGTCCAAATCTACAGCAATGTTATTTGGTGCAAAAAAAAATATAAAATCAACTATAGATCAAGTACAGATTACAGTTGGTGGCAATGTTCTTCAGTTTATAAATGAAGCCAAAAATTTAGGACTGTGGATTGATTCCGAGCTTCAATTCACAAAGAACGTAAATTCGTTGTTGCAAAGTTGCTTTACTGTTTTAAGACAACTATTTCCTAGCCGAGACTTTCTATCCACACACACTAAGCTAAAACTTTGTGAATCTCTTATTTTTTCAAAGATATTTTATTTACGCACCAGCGCTACTTCGATATGACTCTCTACGTTTACAAAAAATTCAGAACTGTTGCTTGCGTTTCGCATATGGCATAAGAGAATTTGATCATATTTCACACTAAATGATCGAATCAGGATGGTTATCTTTAAATAACTACGGGACACTTCACTTATTAACATTAGTTTATAAGACCTTAAGCTTCCAAAACCCGATTATTTATTCAAAAAGTTAATAACGTTTTCAAATATAAATACATTATCTACGCGCATTTTTTAAAAGATCCTTTCCTTATGTAGCATCCAAAGAATATAACAAACTTGGGCCAGAAATTAGATCCTACAATTTAGTTAATTAAAAGAGTATCTAAGAATAGAACCATAAGTAATACAATTATTAACAACAATTCATGGCAACTTGTAGGATATGAATATTGATATTATGTTGAATTCATAAATTAATTTGTCTAAAAAAAAATTAATAACCTGTATGTTTTTTATTTATTTTTTCCACGATTTAAATATGTATTTTTTTTGTGTTAGGTCAAGTTGAAAAACAATGAAAACTAAACTTCGCCCTTTCATCATTTTTAAATATGTTTTTCCTCGCCTAAATTACTGTTATTGTATATTTTCCTTTTTAAGTGATGAATAAACTCCTGTTATTATTATTATTTGCGGTGCCTTTCTGGTTGTTGTAAGATATTTACTAATTCTAAAAAATCCTCGTCTTCAGATATTTTATTTATTTTTATGAAGCAACTTCTATTCATTAGGAATTCAGTAATTCGTATTTACCTTGTCTTCTATTTACCGGTGTACGGTTTGTGTACGGTAACGTATAAGGTACCAACCCAAAATATATTTTTTTGTAGTGTTACCAACTAACTAAATTCAAAAATAGGTCTGAACTCGCATTGTACAATTCAATACTACTGTCACTATTAACAAAAATAACTACAACTTCTTACTATAATAGATAATACAGAAGGCTAATCAAACAGGGTAGGTAATATTGGGAATTAATCAAGATACTAACTACTATTTTATCTACTATCTTACCTTATCTTCATACCAAATCCTAGGTAGGTAACCATCTTATAATCTCACCCCCTTGTTATCATTTTGGTTTTTCCATTGCATTAGTAATCTCCAAGAAGATGATAAAATAACGGTTAAATTAGATTAGATTATAGATTTCTATCTCATTTACATTTATAAAACAATTATAGTTACATTTATAGATTTTTGAACCCTCAGATTACTTTCTATAGTCAAAGCTGAAACCTTTCTCTCCACTTGTCATTAACTTTCACCTTGACGTCAAAAATTTCCAAGACGTCAATGACGAATAACGATTTA